TCTCCTAGCCCCAGCAGCTCGGAGGTACCCGGGGGGTAACGAGGAACGGGGCACGGAAGGAGCCTCCTCTGCCCCGGTGGTGGTGAAGACGTGACGTTTTCTGTCCGGAAAACAAATGCTTGGCGCTGGGAGGACTCACAGACTGTCGGTGCTAAGCTAATGGCATATCCGCTGGGATAAGGGAGCAAAGCCCATCTGGATGGTCCTTTTCTTTTTATTATTTCAAGAGTTTAGAAGGTGACTGAGCTAAAATCAGCAGCGGCTGGAAGGGGAGAAAGAATGTTTTTCTGTATCTGGCCCTTGAAACGCTGAGCAGCTCAGCAGTGAGGCCCTGGACGATAAAATTCTGTCCATGAGCTGCTCGGGTCCGTCTGGGATCTCATCTGGAGACCGGGCTCCAGTCGCTGGGGATTTAGGGGGAAAATCTCATGTTCAGCGCTGGGGGCAAGCATCCAAAGGATGTCAAAAGCTTGGTCTGAGAGGCAGATAACATGACAAAAAGCCTCTGACATCCTGCCTGAAATGCCCCGGACCACAGTGGAGCGCTTACTGGCCAACCCATACAGGAGATTCTGTACGGGGAGCAGAGTAAAAACAGTCTAGCTGAGGGTGTCACCTGACCTCTGAGGAGCTGATCTTGTCACCAAATCTGAGGCAAAGGTCCTGAGCTCATTGCTGGGCGGAGATGCGGCACAGCAGAGGCGCAGCCTGTAGTCCCCAGTGCATACAATGCTTTTGTCTGAGCAAGGATGGCGTGAGGGGAGAAGGGAAGAGGGGCTTGTTAGCCTCCACAGAGGGAGATCTCTTCCCCGCTGTCTCATCTTACCACAGGATTTGCCAAGAAGACTTTCATCTCCTACTCTGCCACCTTTGGGGACAGCTTCCGACAAGGCAAGGTTGTTGGCATAGACCCTGGGAGGCAACAAGTCTTGCTCAGCGATGGTGAGGTGGGTATGGTAATGCGGCAACTGGCAGTAAGTAACTTGGCTGCTGTAGGAGTTCACCTGCTAATGCGGGGAGCCAGCCTTCAGCAGGGCGTGTTGTGAATCTCTCCTTCTCTGGATTTTTCTTCAGCTGTGTCGTGGCTGCCAGAATGCAGCGCTCCAAATCTAGGCTATGTTGGCTGGTGGTGTCTTGTTGGAGAAGTGATGTGGAATTTAGGTTTCAGACTGCTGCCCGTGCTTGGAGTCCTCTGGAGGGGGAGAGTGAGATGAGCAGGACCTCAGGGCACCAACAGAAGATGTGCCCCTGAGCAGGAAGAGGAGCGTAACTCTCATCTGCCCGAGGGGGGTGTGCGCAGGACAGAATCACGCTCTGGGAAAACAACCCTGGACCTTTGCTCTCGAGTTGGATGAGAGCAGGGAATGGTGCTCAGTTGTGGTGAACACCCCCGCGTCTCCCACAGCGCAGAGCAGCTGAGCACACGAACCCTGACCGATCTGATACCCCCAGCTCAGGGTTCAGACACACAGCAGGGTTCCTGTGCTGATGTAACCCTCAGCTTGGCTGAAATGCCTGACCCGGAACAAGCTGCAGGCCAGGCCCTCTGGGAAGGCACTGACTGCTTTCCTCTAGGTTTCTGCCACCTGTGGGCAGATACACAAATGCTCATGCTTAGCACCGGCTCTGTGATGCTAGGAAGTAGAGAGAAATGAAACCAATGACCTTCTTCTGTGGGGGGCTGCCCCAGAGAGAAGCAGCCCCCCCAGCCATCTCCTCTAAAATCAAGAGGCAATGTGGGGAAAGACTGTAGTGTGTAATAATCCCGAAGAGCTTGGCAGCAGAGACCATCTTGCCCTGGACGCGGTGAATGGCACCATCCCTTCTAGACAAGCTAAGTGGCCTAGAGCTGTGTTGGGATGTGGGTGTGTGGTAAATACCACACCCCGTCTAGTGCTCAGATGAGCTTTTATTCTTAGAGCTGGATTTAGAGCTCAACAATTAACCCCGGAGCTCAGATCCTTATCTAACTACAGGAAGAAACAAAGGCAGCAGGTCTGATAACTCTTTTCAGCCAGAGCATCTCATTTCTGCTCAGAAGAGGGTGAAGGAGAAAAGTTAGTCTCTGGAGCCAGCTGTCACGGTCTAGCATAAATATCAGGTTATTTCCTGTAAACTTATGGCAATTTCTTCAAAGCTCTCAGCTCTCCTGAAGAATGGTGCTTCTCTCAGACCCTGAAGAAGGCAGTTACTTGGTGTCACCTGGACCAGGTCTCTTCCTAAAGCCACTTTCTGACAGTGGCGAGTACTTTCCTAGTTATCAGTGAGGGCTGTGGGAGAGCGAATGAATAAGTAGTACCTAGGAGGCAACAGCTGTGATCCAGGCTCAGTTTTTGAGAGGTCTAACATCCTGTTGTACCTTCTGCCCTCC